TAACCTCCTCATGTGAAACTAGAGTGGATAAGGAAGCAGAATTCCATCCATAGGGGCACTTTGAAATGATATCAGCAACCTTGATGATATTGCAGTCATGGGGCTTGGGAGAATGAAGTTCTAGTCCAGGGAGACAAAGAATCCATTTATCCTCCCAGAAGTTAACTAAATCCCCATTCCCTATCTACCACATGGTCCCTTGGGCCAATAAATCTCTACTATACAGAAGACTCCTCCAAACCCATGAAGGTCTTGATCCACATTTTGCCTTCATAAAATCAGTATCAAGGAAGTAAATTGCCTTCATAAATTTGGCCCAAAATGACTCAGGTTGATTGATCAACCTCCAGCATTGTTTTGCCAACAAAGCCTGGTTGAACAACTTAAATCCTTGAATCTCATCCCTCCATCTGCTCTGGCCTCAATCATTCTATCCCATTTCTTCCAGAAAATGCCACTCCCAGCCTCGTTTCCTTTCCGCAGGAAATTCCTCACCTAATTGTTCAGCTTATCGCAGAAGTTTTTTGAAAATGCAACAACCGACATAGTATAGTTTGGGATTGTCTGGATAACCGCTTTGATCATAACTTCTTTACCAGCCTAAGAAAGGCAGCTGATTTTCCACCCTTGAAGTTTCTTCACTATTCTTTCAAGCAAGTAACCAAAGATCTCTTTCCTTGAGCTCCCCCAAACAATCGGAATACCCAAGTACTTAGCACAATGAGGCAATGATTGCATTCCCAGAAGTTGACAAAAAGTGCTCTTCTGCTCCTCAATAGTACTGCTGGAGAAAATGATACCAAACTTATTATAATTAGCACACTACCCAGACGCCTCACAGTACTTTTGTAGTATCTTCGTCAGCTCCCTAATGCCCCTTCTTTTGCTTTGATAAAGAACAGTGAATCATCTGCAAAAAATAAGTGAGAAATGGTAGGACTTCTTCGTTTGATCTTAATACCTGACAGCTTCCTTTCCTCAACACCTTTCGATATCATAGCTGTTAGCACATCTGCAACAATTATAAACAGATAGGGGGATAACGGGTCTCCCTGCCGAATTCCCCATTGAGACTTAATATCACAGACTTTTTTTCCATTCAAAACAAACTGCAGAGAAACAGTGCTAACACACTGCATTATGAGCCTAACCCATCTTCTGTCAAAACCCAGTTTTAGCATAGTGGCTTCCAGGAAATCCCACTCTATTCTGTCATAAGCCTTACTAATGTCCATCTTTATTGCCAGTTCTGGAATCCTGCCCTTTTTCTTACCTTTAAGGTGGTGGAAGACTTCATTAGCAACTACTATACTATCTTGTATTTGTCTGTTGGAGATAAAGGCCGCCTAATTTGGGGAAACCAAAGATCCCATCATCCTCTTCATCCTATTTGCCAATACCTTTGAGATGATCTTGTATAAGAAGTTGCAGAGAGCAATAGATCTAAATTGAGTAATGGATTCAGGTGCATCCTCCTTAGGAATGGTGATATTGAGCNCGGGTGCAGCCTCCTTAGGAATGGTGATATTGAGCTCCTTCTTCATTAGGCCCTCCTCAAAGAAGGCCTTTGCAAAATGGTAGACATCATGTCTCATAATGTGCCAAAACTTGTGAAAGAAAATTCCCGGAAAGCCATCGGGCCCCGGGGCTTTAAGGGCACCTAGCTCATTGACAGCTTCCTATACTTCTGCCTCTGAAATTGCCTTGAACAGCTCATTATTCATGTCCTCAGTGACTTTACACTCCACAACACTCAATTCTTCAGACTAGTTCCTATCACCAACAAAATTGAATAAAAATCGAAAGTAATCACTAATGTGGTCCATAATCTCCTCCTCCCCCTTTATCCAGTCACCACATTCAGATTTGAGTCTGAGAATCTGATTGCGGTTCCTTCTCTGAATTGCAGTCAAATGGAAAAACCTTGTATTTTGGTCCCCATCTTTCAANGCGGTTCTTTCTCTGAATTGCAGTCAAATGGAAAAACCTTGTATTTTGGTCCCCATCTTTCAACCAATTAACTCTTGAGCGTTGTAGCCAGAACTTCTCCTCTCTACATCTGTGGGAATCAATCTAGGAACATATCTCTGCCTCCCTAATAAGATTTTCTTCAGTGGGCTCCTGTTGCTGAACTTGGATTAGTTCATCCCCCAGCTCCTGAATGATCTTCTTGTTGTTCCCAAACTTTTTCTTGCTCCAAATGGACAGTTGTTTCCTGCATCTATCAAGATTAACAATGACATTCCGCATCATAGAATCTGAGAGTCTCGAGGTCCAACAATCCTTGATTACCTCTTCACATTTGGGATCCTCCAACCACATACTTTCAAACTTAAAACAAAATGGCGCCCTCTTGGTATTAAGACCAAGATCAATGACAACAGGGCAGTGGTCAGACCCTATTCTGGCTTCATGGATCACTTGCGTGTAGGGGAAAAGGGCATTCCAATTGGGGTTGACCAGGACTCTATCTAGGCGTTCCTGTATATTTGTAGCACCTGGCCTATTATTTAACCAAGTAAATCTGGGTCTGCAAAAGTTTAACTCCATGAGATAGCAATCGGAAATTAATCCTTGCATCTCCTCAACTTTAGAAATGTTGCTGGCTAAACCGCATTCCGTCTTATCCAAGGCCCTAATAACGTTAAAGTCTCCTGCNGAAATTAATCCTTGCATCTCCTCAACTTTAGAAATGTTGCTGGCTAAACCGCATTCCGTCTTATCCAAGGCCCTAATAACGTTAAAGTCTCCTGCATCAACCCAGGGTGAATCCAAGGACCTGGCCATTCGTTTCAATCTCTCCCAAGTCCTCTTCCTCATCTCATACTTAGTATCAGCATAAATAAACANTCCTGCATCAACCCAGGGTGAATCCAAGGACCTGGCCATTCGTTTCAATCTCTCCCAAGTCGTCTTCCTCATCTCATACTTAGTATCAGCATAAATAAACATGCATTGCCACCACTCCTGATGTTGAGGAAGGCAACACCTTACATTAATCATATTCTTGGTTGTTTCCTCCACCTGAAGACTAAACCCCTCTTTCCACCAGAGTGCAAGACCACCAGACATTCCCACTGGGTCAACATATTCAAAGAAATGAAAATTCAAAGATCTTCTCAATCTCGCCAGCTTATGGGACTTATTTTTAGTCTCCATAAGGAAGACAATTGAGGGATGATAGGTATTAATAAGCCCTTGCAAATTGCGGACTGTCCGGGGTCGTCCCACTCCCTGACAGTTCCAACTAAGCATTAACATGAGTCATGTGGCTGTTTGAGGTCAGCCACCACCACCTTATCTGATTTGCAAACTGCATCATTCATATCTGGTATCCCTTATCTGCTATCCACTAAGACATACAATGGTTAAGATTGTTCTCTCCTCTCCCTTCAATAGGGACATTGTTTCCCTCCTCNTGTGGCTGTTTGAGGTCAGCCACCACCACCTTATCTGATTTGCAAACTGCATCATTCACATCTGGTATCCCTTATCTGTTATCCACTAAGACATACAATGGTTAAGATTGTTCTCTCCTCTCCCTTCAATAGGGACATTGTTTCCCTCCTTCTGGATTTGGTGATACTATCCTTCTGCATTTTCCATGACATCAAAGTACATCTCAGAGTACATCCTTTCTCCAGCCATTGTTTACCTCTCGGGCTTACTCCTCCTATCCCGTTTTCTAGCTGCGTGATTCCTCCTAAAATTTACAAGAGACATATCAATAGCCAAAGGAAGGCCAGAATAGGGGAGGGAAAGGTGAGGGGCACTTGGGCCACTATCTGAAAAGGTTTTGAATCTTTTCCATGGCTGTGTGTGGGCTTCCAAATTGTCATTTTCCAACTAGGCTTTCCTTTTAAGTTACATATTTTGGAAATGGCCTCCATATCATCACCCCTCCTCTCATTTTCACTATTTGATAGAACATGGACCTCTATTTCCTTAGGCTCTTGGGTTTCCATCTTGGCTGTGGGCTCAATGACATAGTAAGAACCTTGTTTGACTGCCACTAGTGAATTTGGATCTTCTTGGGAATCAGACAGGGACATGGATAGAGAGAAGGATTGATCCCATTTCCGGTCCCCACCAATGTAAGGTACCACTGAAAGATGAGGTACTTGGCCTTGGGAGCCACTTTTTTGCTCCAGCATGGTACGTCCCCCACTGCTGGCTTGGGTCCTCGGCACCTCTCCCCTATGATCATTAGGGATGTCAGATGATTCTTAAGTTAATATCCTACTTCCTCCTATCCCCTTGTAATTTGCCTGCACCGCATCCCCTCCGGACGTTTGTACTTTTCCTTTGAGTTTTTCTTTCTTTTTCGACTTCTCCCGTGTTCTTGGCGACCAAATTTCATTTGAAATGATGTTTTATCCTATGAAGGCATCATTCCAAATGACATTTTTAGAAAAAGACTGGGTTTAAGAAATAAGTTTAAAACTGATTGTGTTGAGGAATAAAGATTTGAGGGGGGTTGGGTTTGGAGAAAAGCTCAAGGCACTAGGAGGTGGCAGTGGTATTTGGTGCCTATACCCAATGAGATTTTGCCACACAACTAGCTTGTGGGACACAAGTTAACTTTTTCATAAAAAAAAAAAAAAGAAAATAAATTTGGTAAAGTGATAGATGACAATCATTTATTGGATATGTACAGTTTTTGTTACTGATTTACACCACATGGCATTGCCCACACAATATCAACATAAATGCATTGAGCAGAATCTAAATTCGGGATTTAGTGCCATAAATATCAACATAAAGGACATCACTTTAGAGATACATAAATTCTCTACATGTACCACCAACTTTTCGTGTTCATCATTTCCTATTTCCTCCAACNCAACATAAAGGACATCACTTTAGAGATACATAAATTCTCTACATGTACCACCAACTTCTCGTGTTCATCATTTCCTATTTCCTCCAACACAAAGAAAGCCTCTCTCTCTCTCTCTCTCTCTCTCTCTCTCTCTCTCTCTCTCTTATGTTCTCTAAGCATGGAGGGCAAGAAAACCCAAGGTCGAAAGAAGATTGAAATAAAGATGATCAAGAATGAAAATGCAAGAAGGATCACCTTCTCCAAGCATCAAACTGGGCTATTCAAGAAGGCAAGTGAGCTTTCTACTCTCTGTGGAGTAGAAATCACCATTATCNAAATAAAGATGATCAAGAATGAAAATGCAAGAAGGATCACCTTCTCCAAGCATCAAATTGGGCTATTCAAGAAGGCAAGTGAGCTTTCTACTCTGTGGAGTAGAAATCACCATTATTGTCTTCTCCTTTGGAGGCAAGGCCTTCTCTTTCGGCCATCCAAGTGTTGGTTCTGTAATTAACTGGTTTCTTAGTGAAAACCACCACCCAACTGCGCAGACCTCTAGGCATCTCGGGACTCGCCATGAGGCTAGACTTTAAGAGCTCAATCAGCAGTTCAACAAGCTGAGCAAACAGTTGGTAGTGAAGACAAAGAAAGGGAAAATGTTGGAGAAGAGTATTGCAGAATCAAAGTGCCAAATTTTTGAAGAGTATGTTAATGGACTTGGTTTGCATNGGGAAAATGTTGGAGAAGAGTATTGCAGAATCAAAGTGCCAAATTTTTGAAGAGTATGTTAATGGACTTGGTTTGCATGGGCTTGAAAAGTTGAACGGAATGATGGAAAAGCTTAAGGAAAATGTGGTTCAAAAGGTTAATCATGAGTTGTAGTCAGAGGCTTCTACTAGGGATTTCAAAGCAATGGATGTGTTGAATGTTTGGAAAAATGGGACTGATCATGATCCTCCTATTCCAAAGGATTGGTTGAGTTTGTGAGCAATTAAACTACTTTGAATAAAACAATTACAATATTTGAGTTTTTTTTTTTTTTATGGTGTGTTGAAAACTTAAGCTAGAGTCAGCTTCCCTCTCTAACAAACACTGTTCTACCTGTATCAGCCCAAAATATAGCCCAATGTTAGCAGGAGTAAATCTATACAGTTCTTGAGTATAGACTTTTGAGTATGTTTCTTATAGTCCTAGTTACCTTTTTTTGGTAGTATATGATCTATGGTTTTTATGGCAGAGTGATGAATATTAGTCTACAACCTTTGTCATTTAATATATCTTTTTTTTTTTTGGGTTAATAGGTTACCATTTCAATAACATGCTCTTTGAACTTGTGAGTGTGATGCAATCTTAGGATGCATACAATTACTAACAAACTATGCACATTGGATCAAATAAGAGTGTCTCTTGCAAAACTCAAACTTGGAACTTCGAGGTAATGGCTTATGTGGTTTTCTATTCAAGTTACATTTTTCATTTTAATGTTAATCGATCATGATAGAACTCTAACACAGGACCTCTACTTCGGATTCAAAACCTCTCAATTACATTTTCACTCAATGCTACATTATCAATCGTGAATGGACGAGTAGTTCACCTATAAATAATGAATCCTATTTAAATTAAATGATAAGTGATCTACCACCATTCATGAAAAGTGCAATGGAGAATATCTCAATCTATCTACACCTTATTAATACTCTTGATAATAAGTATTCTTTAACCTGCAAAAAGGCCTTGTAACGGATTGGTTATGAACCAGATTGTCATATATCCAAATCCAAATCTGATTAAGTTTTTGTTGATCCCATCCGATTATCTGACGGATCTGAAAAATTCAATCCATGACCGAATCTATTAATTTTTAAGTACCCGATCCAAAAATCCAATTCGATCTGATTATCACAAAAATACATGTACACAAAAAAAAATTAACAATAAGAATTTGGATAATGAACTAAAAAAATGATGAAAAATGAAAAATTAAAGTTAAACCAAGAGAAAAAACCAAATAAGAGAGGGAAACAAAATGAAAATGAAAAAAGTGGGTCNTAATATATCCAAATCCAAATCTGATTAAGTTTTCGTTGATCCCATCCGATTATCTGACGGATTTGAAAAATTCAATCCATGTCCGAATCTATTAATTTTTAAGTACCCGATCCAAAAATCCAATTCGATCTGATTATCACAAAAATACATGTACACAAAAAAAATTAACAATAAGAATTTGGATAATGAACTAAAAAAATGATGAAAAATGAAAAATTAAAGTTAAATCAAGAGAAAAAACCAAATAAGAGAGGGAAACAAAATGAAAATGAAAAAAGTGGGTCTTACATTGTAATATTCACTCAATGTTTACTTGTTTTCCAGTATAAATGTAATATATGTATAATATTTATTTACATAATATTTTTTTTATTCAGATTGGATTAATAACAGATCAGATTATTTTAAATCCATATCCAAATCAGTTTAAACAACTTTAATCATATTTGGATCAGATTGGATTAATGGATTAAAAGTCTGATCCATATTTGCTTAAACAGATTCGGATTCGGGTTGATACTTATTTTGGACTTAAATGCTTACATATTAAAACAGGGAACTTATATCAAAATAAGACCAAAAAATGGTACCCACACCCAATTTATCCTATTTATTGTTGTAATCTCACCAAAGGGCTTTTTGGATTTTTTAAATCTAAAGCAGGTGCACATTAATTAACAAATAACATTCCTCACTTTTAAGGGCAAATGAATGTCTACCTAGTTGCCATTTATTTTCCTAGCTAAAGTGGGATTAAAATCATATTGTCCCGCAAAGTTTTCCTCAAATTTCAATTTAAGACATAATAATATATTTTATCTTACTTTAGTTCTCCAAAATTTTAAATTATTCCAACGCGGACCTTTTAGTTCAATTCTATTATGATTTATTTGGTAGGAGGGATGGAAATCCAGAGGGATGAAAAAAAATGAGAGGATGAACGTTCCATCCTTTGAGGGAAGAAAAGTTATTTTTCTTTCACTTTGCTTTGTATGAGGGATGGAAAAGTGGGAGAAATAATTTTTTTTTTATTTTTTGGGGTGAGAAAGAAAATGATCAAAAAAATATTATACATCNCCTTGTATGAGGGATGGAAAAGTGGGAGAAATAATTTTTTTTTTTTATTTTTTGGGGTGAGAAAGAAAATGATCAAAAAAATATTATACATCAAAAAACCAAAAAAGCCCCTTGTATAAAAACTTTATATAGTACAAGTTGTCCTTTGGTCTACAATTAAATAATTAATAGACCCTTATCTTTCTTTAAAGATGACGTGCCCTATTTTGNTCAAAAAACCAAAAAAGCCCCTTGTATAAAAACTTTATATAGTACAAGTTGTCCTTTGGTCTACAATTAAATAATTAATAGACCCTTATCTTTCTTTAAAGATGACGTGCCCTATTTTGAAAGAAGGAGAATGGTCGATTTTTAAAAAATACATAGTACACTATGGCACATATATGCGGTACTAAGAAGGACAAAGAAGTAAAATACTCAGGTCCATTCAAATTTATTCACTTTTTGGCCTCTTTCCACCCAAATTTGGGGGGATTATATTTTGTTGGGTGAGGTGGATTGATTTTCTAATCCCTTTTTCATTCCCTCCATTTTCCCCTTCAAACTAAACAAAAGGAAATTGACTCTTTTCCTTCCATTTTCCATCCCACTCTTTCCATTCACCCACTTTTCACTTCTACCAAACAACCCACTAGGTCATGTTTAGATGGTGGAATGGGTGGGGATTGGATTACAATTTTCTTCTCATTTAAATCCAACCCAATTAGATTTCTATATGAGATTCGTGGTCTTCACCATCTCAAACCACATTTGATAAGCAAACATAAGGCTCACGTGGAACTTTTGGTTGATAGCGCGAAACTTACTCAAATACCTATTTTCTAACCCAATGCATATCTATTTCGGGGGGGTAGTAATGTCTTTAAACCACATATCTAGACAGTCCATCTTTGAAACCTGTCCCCTAGGGCATGTTGGTATGTGAGTTTGGATTGGATTTAGAAGGTTATATTTATCAATATGAGAGATGGGGGAATGTATTCAATGATTCGATATTTACATTGCTTGTGTATTCATGGGAATAATTTACAAGAGGATGACTACACTTGGTGATTGGTTCTTATCAGCATCTTCACTTGGTGATTGATTCCTATTAGCATTTGATTAGTTCTTGATTGTTTGATATACAAATCTGAGAATGGATCTTGCAAAGATAAGATTAACTAGAAGCTAATCCTTATCTCTGATACGCCCCCACAAGCAAAGGGTGCTGTTTGACCTCAAAAGTGGGTAAATAATAAAGTGGTTCCCAAGCGTAGGAATGTATCATTTAGTAACTCGATCGATTACCAAGGTCATCTCCTCAGGGAAAATGAAGGACAAATTTGAATGGTGATAAAAATAAAAATAAAAAGATATTTAAAGGTTAAAAATTGCAGTAATTAACAAAGTAAACTTAAAGACAAATTCAATGAAAGAAAGAACCAGATAATCTTCGGATTGCATTCCACCCATGTACAAGAATCTTTATTCCAAATCTATAACTCATCTGCTTTTGTATTCAAACTATTACAGATAGATGATTTTCAACTAAAAACTTTGAAAGAACTAAAGAAGCAATTGAAAAATGGTTTATAATGAAAGAATCAGTACTCTAAAGGTTGCAAGAAACACCACAATTATTTGTACCAAGCCTAATTGCATACAAATAATAGGGATGTATGCAAACCAATTAGGTTTTCAAAAGCATAACATTTTTAATCAATCACATACACGTTAAAACCTTGGTTTAGAGCATAAAACCCTAGTTCATGGGTTGGGAATCCCTACTACAGTTATATGAAAAATAAATTACTCAAACATAAAGTAAATTGAAGCAATTAAAGATGACTTGTAAATAAAAGCAAATAAATAAAACTTGAATGAAGAACTTTGTATTTAAAACAAGGAACTGAAAGCAATTATAATAAAATACTAAAAATAAAGAAGNAGATGACTTGTAAATAAAAGCAAATAAATAAAACTTGAATGAAGAACTTTGTATTTAAAACAAGGAACTGAAAGCAATTATAATAAAATACTAAAAATAAAGAAGAACTTTGCTTGCAAAATAAAACTAGACTAAGAATAATGAAGAAGAATGAGGAGGAGGAGCCCCCTCTTAGCGAACATCCAAGGAGGAAGAAGTTGTGTCTCTAGAGCTCCCAAGGGTTGGTATTTGTAGGAAAAACAAGGAGAGAAATAGAGATAAAGATACAACTAATTTTCTAGAGATCCTCATTCCTATTATGTCTATCTCTTATTCCTAAAAGATCCCCAATATATCTCTAAGATTTAGTCAAAAATTCTTTTCCTAATTTGTCTCTTTCTTCTCAAATAAAGGACTTGGAAGATCTTGAAATATATTTTTGAATATTTAGTTAGTCAATGCTTGGGAGAAGGAGTCCTCACCAAAATTTGATCTATAATTGAATTCCCCATGAAAATTTGTCTTTACCTATCGGTAGAATATTGCTTCCTACTG